AAAAGAATATTTAAGCCTGCAATAATCTAAATAACAACATAACTATAAATCAACTGCCTATATTTACAATTTCTAAACTCAATTGCTATTTTAATGTGAAAAATATGGTCAGCCAGTGGTGAGCCATTAAATTCCCATAACACAAAACAATATTTTGGTGCAGTGAAAGTTGCAATATTTATGGTTCCCTAAGGAGACCTGTGCCATAAAGACTTCTTTTTATTTATGCCCTGACTTTCTCTCAGTAGGAGGAGAGAAGAAGTTCATTCCCACAAGTGCTGTGCAGCAGGGGGTGTGGCCCTGCCCACCTTAATTGTCTCTCTTGTCATTGGTCTTTCTAAAACCTGCTGCCAATTAGCTAGAGTCTCCCCTGTCCCTTTCACTGAGTTTTACATGCTAATTCATTTGACATATGATGTATAAAATTCATTATGCATTCTGAGTAGTTTGCATGGCTTCCTTCATTCATAATACAAAATGCATTCAAAGTTTTTCTTTTTTTTTTTTCACAATTCAGATTTCTTTTGTTTATGTTATCTGTGTGGGAAAAATATGGTCAAATGGAGCAAAAGATCTAGAGAAAGTTATGGTTTAACTTAAGATATTGCTTTAATTAATTCATGGAGTTTAACTTATTTCTCTCTTGCACACATGTTCTCCCAAACACATGCATACATACATATTTCTATACTTATATCTATACACACACACACACACCGTTGAAGTCAGAATTATTAAACCCCCTGAATTATTAGCCCCCCTGGTTATGTTTTCCCTCTTTATTTATTTAACGGAGAGAAGATTAATAATAACATAATAGTTTTAATAACTTATTTCTAATAACTGATTTTTTTTATTATCTTTGCCATGATGACAAGACATAATATATTAGTAGATATTTTTCAAGATACTAGTATTCAGCTTAAAGTGACATTTAAAGGCTTAACTAGGTTAATTAGGTTAACCAGGCAGGTTAATTTGGCAAGTTATTGTATAACATGGTTTGTTCTGTAGACCATCGAAAAAACTATAGCTTAAAGGGGCTAATAATCTTGACCTTAAAATGGTGTTTAAAAATTAAAGACTGCTTTTTTCTAGCTGAAATAAAACAAATAAGACTTTCTCCAGAATAAAAATATTATCAGACACACTGTGAAAATGTTCTTGATGTTCTTGTGTGTGTGTGTGTGTGTGTGTGTGTGTGTGTGTGTGTGTGTGTGTGTGTGTGTGTGTGTGTGTGTGTGTGTGTGTGTGTGTGTGTGTGTGTGTGTGTGTGTGTGTGTGTGTGTGTGTGTGTGTGTGTGTGTGTGTATATGTGTGTGCAGGAGGTGTCGTCTAGGCTGAAGACTCTGCAGTGTAACGTCTCGAGGGCCGTCAGTTTCTTCAACGATCTCCCAGGATTCAGCTGTCAATCAATTCAGGGCGGAGTCTTCATCTGCCCACAGCTGAGTCTCCCTCACTCTACACACACACACTCACAGGTACACACACACACACACACACACATTCACAGACGTACAAACATACACTTATTCACACACAAAACAGACTTACAAGTACACACACATACACACACACACACAATTAAAGGTACAAACACGCTCACACACACATTCACAGACCCACAGACATACACCCATACGCACACAAAACAAACTCACAAATACACACACACACACACACACACACATACACAGGCACTCAAAAGTATAAACACACACTCAAAGTACAAATACAAACACACACACACACACACACACACACACACTTATGCACACACAGGTATATACACACACACTCAGTCATGCACACTCATACACACACAAACATTAACACAGGTACACACACTCAGAATTATACACACACGCACATACTCACAAGTACAAATACACAAACACACACACACTCACAATTAAAAGGTATACACACACACTCACACACATTCACAGACCTACACATACACACAAAACAAACTCACAAATACACACACACACACAACACACACACACACCACACACACACACACACAGAGACAAAGGTACAAACACACACATACACACACACACACACACACACACAAACACACACACACACACACACACACACACATTCACAGACCTACACATACACACAAAACAAACTCACAAATACACACACACACACAACACACACACCACACACACACACACACACACACACACACACACACACAGAGACAAAGGTACTAACACACACACACACACACACACACACACAAGTAAAGGTACAAACACACTCAAAGGTATACACACACATTCACAGACCTACAAACATACACACAAAACAAACTCACAAACACACACACACACACACACACACACACACACACAGAGAGGGAGAGAGAGACAGAGAGACAGAGAGACAAAGGTACAAACACACTCTCTCTCATACACACACACACACTTAAACAGGCACTAAAAAGTATACACACACACACACACTCAAAGTACAAATACAAACACACACACACACACACACAGAGAGAGAGAGAGAGAGAGAGAGAGAGAGAGAGAGACAGACAGACAAAGGTACAAACAAACTCTCTCTTATACACACACACACACTTACACAGGCACTAAAAAGTATACACACACACTCAAAGTACAAATACAAACACACACAGTCATATACATAAACACTAACAGGTTCAAACATACACAGAAACACACACTCTTACAGGTACGTTCACTCAAACACAGTATAGTATACACACACGTACACACATTCACAGATATACTCACTCACAGGTACACACACACATAAGTTTAATCAAACTCACACTTACAAGTGCGAACACGTTCATACAGGCACACACACACACACACATACAAACAAACACTCTCATACACTCACAGATACTACAGTAACACACACATTCTTACTCACAGGTATACACAAACACTAACATGTATGAACGCACACACACACATGATGTTTAAAATGAGGAGGAATTCTTTTGTGTGTCTGTGTGTGTGTGTTTGTGTGTGTGCTTCCATGTGTGTGTGTAGCCAGTGGGCTTGTTGTACAGCAGGAGGTTGTTGGAGGATCAGGGTGTGTGTGTTGGGTTCAGCGAAGATCACACACATTCACACTGCTGCCACTTCAGGTACAGTGACCTTTTCAGACATGCAGTTTACACACACACACACACACACACTGAACACCCTGTTGGGGTGTGCGTGTCTGTCTCAATTGTAAGTGGCTTTGTACAAGAGTGTCTGCTAAATGACTAAATATAATGTAAATGTGTGTGTGTGTGTGTGTGTGTGTGTGTTTTAGGTTGTGTGTGTTGATGCCATCAGATGAACTAGAGGAAGTTCTCGGTCGCCTTCACTGTTTTCACCTAAAATTCCTCCAGGAATACTGAAATCACACACTCAGTGAAGCTCATCAGAGGATTAGATCTGTACACTAGGCTGTTTCCTCCTCTACTCTGCAGAACATGCTCATGTGAGCAGTATTAAAGGGATCGTTCACGCAGAAATCAAGCATTGTCTTTCTCTAAATCATTCATTCATTCATTTTCCTCCGGCTTAGTCTCTTATTTATCAGGGGTCACCACAGTAGAATGAACTGCCAACTATTCCAGCATGTGTTTTACACAGCAGATGCCCTTCCAGCTGCAACCTAGTACTGGGAAACATCCATACACACTCATACACGACATCCAATTTAGTTCATCTGTTAAATTACCCAATAAATTGTATTTTTTAACAGGTCCAAGCCGCTACTCATTTGAATTGACAAAATATTTGTTTATGGACACTTTTTTAATGCAAATCTAGAATGGATGTGCAATAAAAATGTTTTTACATCGGTTACTACATAATATTAGACTAGATATTCTTCAAGACACTATAGTATTCAGCTTAAAGTGACATTTAAAGGCTTCACTAGGTTAATTTAGGTGAAGCTTGAGTAATTAGGCAAGTCATTGTATAACAGTGGTTTCTGGTTTGTTCTATGTGGAGAAAAAAACCTGCAAATATAATAAATAAATAAATAAATACGCAAATATATAAATGAGTAAATAAATTAAATTAATTAAATTAAATAAATGCATACATTCCTGCATAAATATCACAATAAATAAATATGCAAATATATAAATAAATGAGTAAATAAATGCATAAATAAAACAATAAATATGCAAATATAGAAATTAATGAGTAAATAAATGCATAAATTCCTGCATAAAGCAGTAAATAAATAAGCATGCAAATATATAAATAAATGAGTAAATAAATGCATAAATAAAACAATAAATATGCAAATATAGAAATGAATGAGTAAATAAATGCATAAATAAAACAATAAATATGCAAATATAGAAATTAATGAGTAAATAAATGCATAAATTCCTGCATAAAGCAGTAAATAAATAAGCATGCAAATATAAATAAATGAGTAAATAAATGCATAAATAAAACAATAAATATGCAAATATAGAAACGAATGAGTAAATAAATGCATAAATTCCAACATAAAACAATAAATAAATATGCAAATATATAAATGAATGAGTAAATAAACGCATAAATTCCTGCATAAATAAAACAATAAATAAATATGCAAATATATAAATAAACGAGTAAATAAACGCATAAATTCCTGCATAAAGCAGAAAAATAAATAAACATACAAATATATAAATAAATGAGTAAATAAATGCATAAATAAAACAATAAATATGCAAATATAGAAATGAATGAGTAAATAAATGTATAAATTCCTGCATAAATAAAACAATAAATATGCAAATATATAAATAAATGAGTAAATAAATGCATAAATTCCTGCATAAATAAATAAATATGCAAATATATAAATAAATGAGTAAATAAATGCATAAATTCCTGTAAAAATAAAACAATAGATATGCAAATATATAAATAAATGAGTAAATAAATGCATAAATTCCTGCATAAAGCAATAAATAAATATGCAAATATATAAATAAATGAGTAAATAAACGCATAAAGTCCTGCATAAATAAATAAATATGCAAATATATAAATAAATGAGTAAATAAACGCATAAATTCCTGCTATAAAATAATAAATAAATATGCAAATATAAAAATAAATGAGTAAATAAATGCATACATTCCTGCATAAATAAAACAATAAATAGGCCTAAATATGCATATATAGAATTAAAATGAGTAAATAAATTCATACATTCCTGCATAACTAAAACAAATAAATATGAAAATATATAAATAAACGAGTTTTATGTCATTTAAATGTTTTATTTACCCAGTATTTTTAATTTCTGTTATTTCGTTTATTTATTTATTTATTTATTCATATTTTCTGTTCAGTTCGCGCGCGGAATACAACGACACACACAGTGAGTTTGATTCCGGTCGTGTTCCTCTTCAGTATGAGTCAGCCCTGAACGGTAACCGTACACAGAGGATGTCGCAGCAGCAGCACGGTGATCGGTGCCGTTTTACCGGAAATCCCGCGTGTTTCATGCTGAAGTCTGTCGTGTTCAGCGCGTGAATGACCGACAGCTTTTTCCCCCCCGCCGCATCAGTGCAGATTCTCCGGTCAGAACACGTCATCCCGGTTACTAACGTAGTACGGCAGCAGGATATTCTATTCCACGCGCTCTGGATGTTTCCGTTCAACCGTGATGTGCTGCATCAGGGCGGGATGCGTTTAACGGGCTTGTGTTCCGCGTGTGTGTCGTGTCGGTTGTTCGGTTAACGGAGACGTGAGGAGGAGTCTCCATCTCTCCCCCCGCGTTCGTGTCTCTACCGTGCCCGTTAACGGGGGCTGCACCGTGGGGTCCTGATGGCGACGGCGGCGGCGCCCGAGCTGGAGGATGTGGACCGGCGGCCCATCAGGAGAGCCCGGTCCAAGAGTGACACACCGTACCTGACTGAAACCAGGCTGTCCTACACACTGCAGACAGGTGAGTGTGTGTGTGTGACTTCATTACTACTGTAGGCTACTCGGGGAATGCCATGATACTGTCATTGATGACATACTGAATGATTATAGTGGTCATTGTGGATGCTAGATGAATCAGCCTAAAGAATACCATGGTAAAACAAGTGCTTTTACCATGTCCAAATACATAATCACATTATTAATGACCATCTACTAAAGTATTACCATTGCTAATGCTGTTAATGTAATTTATAGTAAATACTACAGTGTTTTTACTATAGTAAACTGCTTAAATGTATAAATTGTGGTAATTGTATTTACTGTAGTAAAACAACTAATATAAACAAATAATGACCCAATACTGTAGTTTTCCACATTTACAGTGTATATTATACTACAATACACCACAGTTTACTGTAGTAAAAACTCAAGTATACTACATTATTACAGTTAATCAGTTCAAGTACTAATACTACAATACTACTCCCATTCAACAAAGAGTTATTTTACTATACTATACGGTATAATACACTTCACTATAGTATGGTTCAAAAACACTGTAGTATTTACTATAGTATATTTTTAATACCACATTATTTTAAGCATTTACTCTAAAGTATTTAAATACCATAGTACTATCATAGATGATACTGAATGATTATAGTGGTCATTGTGGATGCTAGATGTATCAGTCTAAAGAATACCCTGGTAAAAACAAGTGCTTTTACCATGTCCAAATAAATAATCACATTATTAATGATCAGCTACTAAAGTATTACCATTGCTGATGCTGTTAATGTAATTTATAGTAAATACTACAGAGTTTTTACTATAGTAAACTGCTTAAATGTATCAATTGTGGTAATTGTATTTCACTGTAGTAAAACAACTATAGCAATGTAAACAAGTAATGACCCAATACTGTAGTTTTCCACATTTACAGGGAATATTATACTACAATACAGCACAGTTTACTGTAGTAGAAACTAAAGTATACCACATTATTACAGTTAATCAGTTCAAGTACTAATACTACAATACTACTCCCATTCAACAAAGAGTTATTGTACTATACTATACAGTATAATACACTTCACTATAGTATGGTTCAAAAACACTGTAGTATTTACTATAGTATATTTTTAATACCACATTATTTTAAGCATTTACTCTAAAGTATTTAAATACCATAGTACTATCATAAATAATACTGAATGATTATTGTGGTCATTGTGGATGCTAGATGAATCAGCCTAAAGAATACCATGGTAAAACAAGTGCTTTTACCATGTCCAAATACATAATCACATTATTAATGACCATCTACTAAAGTATTACCATTGCTAATGCTGTTAATGTAATTTATAGTAAATACTACAGTGTTTTTACTATAGTAAACTGCTTAAATGTATACATTGTGGTAATTGTATTTCACTGTAGTAAAACAACTAATATAAACAAATAATGACCCAATACTGTAGTTTTCCACATTTACAGGGTATATAATACTACAGTACACCACAGTTTACTGTAGTAAAAACTAAAGTATACTACATTATTACAGTTAATCATTTCAAGTACTAATACTACAATACTACACCCAATCAACAAATAATTATTATACTATACAGTATGACACACTTTACTATAGTATGGTTCAAAAACACTTTAGTATTTACCATAGTATATTTTTAATACCATATTATTTTGAGCATTTACTCTAAAGTATTTAAATACCATAGTACTATCATAGATGATACTGAATGATTATAGTGGTCATTGTAGATGTATCAGCCTAAAGAAATACTATGGTAAAACATGTGCTTTTACCATGTTATAAAAGCAGTGATTAATGCAGATAAAGTCACATTATCTACTTAATGACTGTAGCTACTTAATTATTACCGCTTGCTAAAGTCATTAATGTATTTTAAAATAAATACTACAGTGTTTTTACTATAGTAAACTACTTAAGTTAATCTGTTGTTTAATTCTAGAGCACGAGTAGTAATACAAGAACTATAGTAACATAAACAAATGACCCAGTTTACTGTAGTTTTCTACAACTCTAGGGTATATTATACTACAATGCACCAGTTTACTGTAGTAATAACTACTACTGTAGTGCTTTTACCATGTTATGTCCTAAAAAACAGTGATTAATACAGACATATTCACATTATCTGCTTAATGACTGTAGCTACTAAATTATATCCACTCACTAATAATGCCGTTAATGTAATTTAAAGTAATTAATACAGTGTTTTTACTATGGTAAACTACTTAAATTAATCTGTTATGGTCATTCTGGGGCACTAGTAGTAATACAAGAACTATAGTAATATAAGCAAATGACCCAGTTTACTGTAGTACAACTATAGGGTATATTATACTACAATACACCACAGTTTACTGTAGTAAAACTGAAGTATACCACAGTATTGCACTTAATACTACAGTACTACACTTCTACATGCATGCATGGTGAATTGAATGGAATTCAATAACAAAGAGTTGTACACTATACTGTGTAATGTACTTTACTATAGTATTTTTCATACCATATTATTTTGAGCATTTACCTGCAA